GGGTGTGAAAATGTGTTTGTTGTTAACATTCTTTTTTTATTCGGTTTTTCCAGTTACAAGTCCTTTTTTAAAGCTGATCGTTTTTCGTTCATTTTGTTTAGTTCTTTTTTCGTAACAGATTTAATGTTTAGTATAGAGCTTAGAAAAAATTCGCAGTGTGAGATAGGCAAGAAGTAAGGCATGTAGCAACATTAGCACGGCAAGGGCACTCCTTTAAAGGCAAAGAAGGGCAAAAATATTTAAGTCAAGTGATAGCGATTGCTGTATGAGTCGTACGATTTTTGAATCAAGTATGGGTAACACCGGTGCTAGTTAATATTATTAATTTGCGAAAGTTATTTGTTTAGTAAAGATTATTAAATTGTGTAAGTCAATTGTTTCTTTTTCTTCTATGTGCTGAGTCTGTTCAGGAAGTAGGTGATAATAGCTCTACACAATTCCTTATCCTTTGTAGATCTTAATAACTTTTGTCTTTTTGATATCTCTCCTAAACATAGTTCCCCCAGGCAATTAATCAAACTCTCTAGGTAGGTAATGCGTTGTTCCTCTTGGATTCAATCTGCTCTGTGTGTATCATATTTTCCAAACCCTTATTTTGTACCCTAAACAATTCTATTATCTTTTTTTTATGTCAAGTATATGTCCTTGTTTTAATTTTCTCTAATTCGTCATTTCTCAGATGTTCCATTGATGGTATTCTTAGCATCCGTTTGTAAAAACATATTTCTGCTGCTTCAAGTCTCTTCATCTATGTAAAGATTGTGTAGGAGTACTGACATTACGTAACAGTTCAGTACGCTTTTCTTTGTTTCTAACGAAGGTATTCCTTTTTCTTAAACCTTTGCTTAACTCATAGGCCACAAAAATCTCCTGAGCCGACCAAGCATAGAAATAAATACAATATGGGAATGAGTAATAAGGAGTGCCAGAGAAAAGCAATGATAACAACAAAGTTGCGAAATGAGCTCTGGTAAAAACAAGCAATGATAACAGCAAATTTGCAATATGAGCACTGGTAAAAATGGTTGCTGAAGACATTAGGTTTATAATACCCAGAAATTCGTACCCAGATGTCCTCAAAGACACATGGCACAGTGGATAAAGACGTTCGTTAGATCCAGTAACAAAGAGTGTGAGTTCAATACCCGGTTAAGGCAGTGGAGAACTTTCAGAGTGAAATTAGCAGGAGATAACTGATAACTGACATCCATCAAAAACATGGAACTAGAATAGTCTACCCCAGTGAGCGAAATTCCAACCACCTTACATTTTGAAATTCCAACTACCTTACAATTACAACGGCCGAAACGTTGTGATAAATATGGCGACAAAGATGAGGACATTAGTCCGAATAATGTAAATAATGCACTTCCTAGATGTTTAAATTGTTGCAGTTGTTTGATTCTGGTATCTCTAGTTTATAATTTGCATGTTGGTCTCTTCCTTTTGCTCCGTCCTGCGTATGACGATAAAATCCATCCGGCAGTAAGTTGTTGTTCCCCGGTCCACCCTGACTCGAGTTGGTTGCACGTATTAGGGTCCCAGCGAAGGACAAATTGTTAACCACCATTGATCAAAACACGATGAAAATGTAAAAAACTTCATAGTAAAAATACTAGCAATAATTTTTTGTAAGAAATTAAAAAAAAATCAACTTACACCTTGCTGTAAGGAAAATATTACCAGAAATACATTTATGTAAAATAAATTAATAATATTCCCCTAAAAATTTATTTTCGGCATTAAATGACCCATAAAGAGTTGATATGCCGCTAAACTGTTGCATACTCATCCTTCTTGGAAGTGGGTGTTGTGGGTTCGTCTCATCTCGTCTGGTTGGTAATCGCTGGTCGTTTTAGTTCAATCCTCTTGATCTCTTTGTCGGTGTCGCGAAATATTCTTTGGGTTCAGTGACGAAACAAAGAGAAATTTTAACTTAACTACTATTTTATTAACCACGTCGATGTGTATATTTTCTATCATCTGTGGGTTACTACAACCCCAATTAGGGAATTGCTTTCAAACATAGAAATCTCACACGTCCATTTCATTTGACGTGTTACAAACTACTATCAAAAGACTCTTCACCACTGGGGTGGAAGAGGGTTTCCACAAACACAATCTGACACGTCTAGTTAGGTTGACGTCCAAACAGCAACTCCCGAAAAACCTTAATCTATAATTCATTTCCATGTTCGGCTCAGCCAATCAAAATCGACTTCCCTATTTTGTCTACTATCTAACCTCAAAGGTCAACCTCAGAAGATATCAGCCAAAATACTCTGCCACTAAAAAATAATAGTCTGAAACTATTACGTAACACTCCTTATCCAACAATAAAAAAGAATTAATTTATGAATTATATTTAACAAAACAAACACACTTCATTTTGCTAACAACCATATATTTCCTATTCTTTCAATTGATCATTAGTCCTTTCTTCACACTTTCCTTCAATACCTTCCCTCGGATTTCGTGAAGTTTCTTTTCTGTTTGTGATATCCCCACTGTGTCATCTGCATATCTAATGTCGATAAGACTATGGCTATCAATAACGAATCCTAGTCATGCTAATAATTCTCTCAGAATCGCTACACTGTATATGTTGAATCAGCCCCTTCAGAACACACCACGTTTTTTTTTATACCAACATCTATTTTTATATATTTACTGGATTCCTTTTCTATCTGTATGCAGGCAGTTTGCGTGCATTCCCTATTTTCCCGGGAAAACACATACTCGCCGAAAATGACTTACCATTAGGCGACGAGGGTTTTTATAGCAACGTAAGACAATGTCTTTATAAAATTACAAATGAAAACATGATGCTAAATATCTCATACGAAACATTACTGTTGATTCTAGTCCGAACATCGTCAAAAACCATCGGTCAGTGGGTGTGGGATTTTTTTTGGGGGGGAGGGGGCTTCTCGAAACGTATGGATTTCTGAGGTCTTCTTTTCTGAGTGGTTGTTTCTATATCTACTTTTCACACACTGTGTCAATCAGGCGTCTTTCTGTGTGGCATCCGGTGAGTCAAGGGTCTCCACTTTGTGGCTAGGAGGGTATCTCTCAGGTTAACCTTCCGATGCAAACTGGATTATTTAACAATATCTATTGCGTCATCACTTGGTCCAATCTTCATGCTGTAGAGGAAATGTGTGCCTCTACAGGTCTGTTAAGGGATGAGGTTGAGTTTGAATACAATAGGAGAAACTGTATTCAAAATATTCAGGAATAAATTTCAACAGGTGCAAATCTTTTTATAAAAGGAATAACATGATCCCCAAACGAGTGAAAATGTACTCTTGCGTCCAAATATAGCTGAAAGGCCAAAACATCTTTATGGGGTGAACAATAGTGTGTGTGTGTGTGTGTGTGTGTGTGTTGAATATGAAATGTGTTCACCCAGTGTCAAAAAATGCTCCTGCTATTCAGAGCCAAAGGGAAGAGAAAGAGAACGGGCTATTGCTTACCATATCTATATATATATATATATTATTAATATAAAACTGACGATAGCCGGAGGCCACAACATCCGGAACGGTGTGTTAAAAAATAAAAAAGACTTGGGCAATAGTATGAATATAAAAACATCCTATAATGATAAATCTTTATTTCATAAATTCAGATAGAGAAAGGGATAAGCCGTTCTTTTATAGTTCTGAAACAGAGCCACGACGTAGTCGGTGTCTTGGCAGACCAAGTGGGAGTAATCCACACAAGAGAAAATATATTTGTAAAAGCAATATTTTTATATTGCAACTCCCTTATTTTGCTCTCCATGTAGAAATCTGCCCGTTGACCCCCGGGCGTTCAACATATTGCACCTTCTTGGGATCACGTTTCCCACTGTCATGACATGGAGAAATTATATTGAATCAATTGCTCAGTCTATTTCTACGAAATCTGGTTCCCTGTGTGGTGGCAGAAGCCATCTTGAACGTTTATAAATCTACCATTCGTTCGTGCATTGAATACTACTGTCATATTTGGGTTGGTGCTCCTACTATATATCTTAAGATTCTTGACAAAATTCAAAAGAGGATCTGCAATGTTATTAACCCTGACCTGGTATCTCGACTTCAATCAATTTCTCACCCTCTGTGGCTTCCCTCTTGTCTTTTCTACAAATATTTTCATGTCAGTTTTTTTCTGATGAGCTTTCCTCCTTGGTGCCTCGACCTCTTTAATTTAAGCGTGCTACTAGATTGGCAGTTAGGTCTCATCGTTTTACTGTTCAACTAGCTAGATGCAACCCTGTTTTCTATTCAAATAGTTTCTTTTTTTTTGCCCGTGTGATCCCTTTTTATTTCATACTTCCCGGCCAACTACAATCTTCAAAAAAATTCATTGCAACCCCAATCGCCATGTTATGACTTCTTGAATCCTGTTCTCTTATTGTCCTTTCTACTCAAAAAAATTGCCTCGTTACTCGGGATGAAATGATTAAAAAAGAAAGTATCAGTTAATGGGATAATAATTTTCAGTCTATCATAAATGAATAGCATTTATATCAAATTTGGTTAACTACTTGATATACGAATACGATTATCACTTGCTCTGCTATCTTTTCCTTAATACAACATCCCATAATTACTATGCTTTAAAGAAAAACTTGTTCTTAAAATCGTTTGACACTGTTGATTCTTGCATTATTAGATCGCTTTGTAAACAATGAAAACACCATCAACACTATGCAACTGGCGGTGTTCACAAGAAAATCAAGCAAAGAAAGATTAGTGGAGAGAAAATTCGTTGCTTTTACTTCCTAATATAACCGGTGTGGGGAGAAAAAATCAATACGAAAGCCAGTCAAAGCATAAAAAACCCCGAAAAACTATCAGCCGTTACAGAGCAACGAGAGGTGTCAATAATATCAGTTTCGAAAAATGTAGCAGGCAAGAAAAAAAAACAACACGTTCCAGAAGTAGTAAGAGATTGTCAGTTAAAATAAAAGGAGACGCTTAACAAAAACAACAACAGGAAATCTTTACTGAATGACTACTTCCACAAACAACTACTTTATACATGTAAATCTACAAATTGTACTAATATCAGAAAAATACCTATATATCTATCTATCCTGTTCATCTTTCTATATATAGTTTATCCATCATGTGCTCTCTCTCTAACTTTATTTATTTTAGTCTGTTACTTATCTATCTATCTATCTATCTATCTATCTATCTATCTATCACAGTATTTTCCTCTCTTTCTATCCCCCTGTCGTAATATGTTCATCTCTTTCTCTAACTATACTAGTATGTTCCTTCCTTCCTTCCTTCCTATCTATCTATCTATCTATCTATCTATCTATCTATCTATCTATCTATCTATCTATCTCAATCTCTTTCTTTCTTTCTTTCTTTCTTTCTTTCTTTCTTTCTATATATCTTAATCTGTTTCTATCTATCTATCTATTTATCTATCAATGTATTTTCCTCTCTCTCGCGATCTACCTACCGTAGTCTCTTCACTTCTCAATCTGTTTCTATCTATCTATCTATCTATCTATCTATCTATCTATCTATCTATCTATCTATCTCAATCTGTTCATTATTTGTCTCGATGTTCTATCTATCTATCTATCTATCTATCTATCTATCTATCTATCTATCTATCTATCTATTAAAGTGTTCTCTTCCTATCCTCCGTCGCAATTTTTTCATCTTTCTCTCTAACTATACTAGTATGTTCCTCTCTTCATTGCTATCTATCTATCTATCTATCTATCTATCTATCTATCTATCTATCTATCTATCTGTTCATATATATCTAAGGGAAAAATAGGACAAGCAGAAAACAAATGGCTTTAATACTTCGACTTTGACACTGACATAAAATATCATTCAGGCTAATGTATTCCAAAATCTGTATCCAGTTGTAATTCGTTTGACATAATCCCCGAAACATGCAAGATTACTTCGAACTTAGAATTGCACAATGGCTGAGCAAATCACATTAACTCGACGAGAGGGCACTGAAAAGATCTCAGCCAAACCATGGTGGAACTGAAATAAAATATATTTGTTTGGGCATTTGTTCAGATTTGAGGATGGAATCCGAGAACAGTCCAGAACTTTTATATTTATATATATACAAACACACACACATATACATATATATATATATATATATATATATATATATATATATATATATATATATATATATATATATATATATATAAATACTAGCAACATGGCCCGTCGTTGCCCGTGCATGATTCAAAAGTCGTACGACTCATACAGCAGTCGCTATCACTTGCCCTTCCTTGCCTTTAAAGGAGTGCCCTTTGCCGTGCTGATGTTGCTACATGCCTTACTCCTTGCCTATCTCACACTGCGAATTTTTTCTAAGCTCTATACTAAACATTAAATCTGTTACGAATAAAGAACTAAACAAAATGAACACAAAACAATCAGTTTAAAAACGGACTCGTAACTGGAAAAACCGAATGAAAATGAATGTTAACAACAAATACTTTTTCACATCAAACCCAGTTCTGCGGAATCAGAATCAACGTTGAGTTTAAGCAAGCGAATGAGCCAATTGGAGTAAAGTGCCATGCAGATTTAAATTTTTCCTACTTGTGACGTATGTAGCTATCAATTTTTTTTTTGCATACTAGCATGCTAGTTAACATTCGTTTCAGTCATCTGTTGGCTCTCACACTGGCCAATAGAATCTTCCTGCCTATTCGTGGCAGCCATTTATAGGCTCTCACTCTGGCCAGTACAAAATGGCCGCAAGCTACATGAAAACCGCCGTAGAAGCATGAAAAAATCGATTATTCCACTGTCGATGGGAGTTGGGAAATGCAAAGTCGGTCTTGGCCTTCCCGCTCACTTGGAGCATGTGCATATAAATTTTGGTGCAAATCCGTCGAAAATTGCGGCCGTGCATTCGTTACACACACACACACACACACACACACACACACACACACACACACACACACACACACACATCCTGCCTTTTACAGATAGAGATCTATATACAAAAATGGTAAAAGACTATATCCTACCGCACTACCTTGCTTTCGACAGTGAGGTCACTTTACGTGGCTAGGTTATAAGTGTTCATCAACGCACACCAATTTTATCCCGCTACGACACCGAACGTATAAAGAGGGTGTGGTTTACCTGGCTGATGTTAGTTAAGACAGTGACCAAATGAAGGTTTACGTCGAATGTACTGAGAGCTATTTTAGCAAATGTTGGTACAGCCATGGTTCTCCTTTTGTTTGAAGTGAATTGATTAAAAAAAACAATAACAGGCTCACCCGAAATTTACCGACACGGTAATTCTGTGTACACTATCCACTGATTTAAATAGTAAGTACAGACTAGCTTATTGTTTCAGAATATTCCCGTCTTCTAGGGTGACTAAGTAATCACTGTTAAATATGGCTGCTGAGGTATACTGTTTGTTCAACTTGTATTTCATATAGGCTGGGCAGACTTTATTTGCAGTTTCTGGGAGAGGGGGTATACTTTAAAGGTGTCAGTAGTTGAATAAGGACAGTATACTCAGACCTTCGATCACGATGACTTGAAACTTGGTGTTAACAGATTTGGACTCTCTGTATCAATTCCAAGAGGTAATGATTTATTTATAAGGAAGGAGCGTGTGATTGAGTAGGCTTTAGGAAAGTAAATGTATTCACATATCCAAACCCAACATCTTTTCCAGGATCCTGCAGCAAATTGAGATCCAGGACGTCAGCAGATGATAAATTGCAAAATAAATAAACGAACGTTTTTGCTATTTCAGTCATTATTTTGAGCGGCTATCTGTTTTTGAATAGATGCCCTTTTTTTTAAAAAAAAAAAAAGAAGAAAAAAAAAAGAAAAAAGATGTATTACGTGTAACAGTCTGCGGACTAGGGGAACTTACGGTAGGGTTCAAACTAGCATTTAATTTTGAAGTTGAGGCCACCATTGGGTCTGGCGTGCGTTCGATTAGCTCTTAACATTTTCGGTTTTAGGTTATCAACTTTTGGAAGGCTTTCATTTTAATAGACACGTTGTTTTTTCTTTAAAAAAAAAACAAACAAAAAAAACTTATTTTCAAAAAGAAAAACGCCTTTCTCGTAAGCAGACGATCTTATAGTAACATAATCCGAGGCAATATATTCAACTACGCCTGTTCAGTTCGATTATTAAAAAAGTTAGAAAAGAAATCCTAGCAGTTGTCTCTAGGTTTCAGGCAGTTGCATCTAGTGTTGGATGTCATCATGAGGCAAGTGTGGGTAATTTTCCAAATGCAAAATTTGATTTTGAAATTTCATTAAATTCTTATAAACGTCAGTTATCAAATTACGACGAGTGAACATCGACACAACAACCAGTCATTGATGTATAAAGCAATCTTCACAGAAAACTGATAAGATTAGGTTTGAATTTAATTTGCTCTCTCCGGGCGCAGGGAAAAGAAAAAAAATCTATAATGAAGTTAAAGTTGGATTAGCGATAGGCTGGCTTTCGTTTATAAAGGATGCTAGGAGATGTTGGAACATGAAATTAGAAGCTGCTAAACAAAATACTTAATTCTGTTTCTTAGGATCTTCTTCGTCTTCATCTTCTATATGGCATGTACCTTCAGGGTGTGAGTGATCATGGCTCTCCACAACACACTATCCTTTTAACTGGAGATTTGCAGCTGATCTCCCCTCTGATTTAGATCTAACAGTTCAGTGGAGGAAAACTGGCTAGTCCCATTCAATGCCTCGAAAATAAAACTAGTTATATTCCATCATCCTCCGATCGGACCCTGAAAAAATCGCCAATCACGATCTATGGATGTACTCATGCGTCTATTGGGATTTAAACTCAACCTAGACCTCAAGTGGAACTCGTATATACAATCCATCGCTAAAGATGCTGGAAAAATGGTCAGTTCCTTGACCGTTCCCGTAATAAATACTGTTTAAAATAAACGGGGCGTCTTTTCAAAAACCGGTGTCCACTAAAAATAACGTTTTTAGTAACAAAAATGTCGGATTAAAAAAATAAAGTCTGTCTATATTTCTGAGATGAGGTATTATGTACAGTATTTACATTAGTCGGACTATTGTCCTCATCTTTGTCGCCATATTTGTCACAACGTTTCGGCCGTTGTACGCTCCGGCCTTCTTCAGGTGGTTGGAATTTCGAACTGAACCCTTTATTTTGTCAAGGACACATGGCACAGTGGATAAAGGCGTTGGTTAGATCCAGTGACAGACCCAAAGAGTGTGAGTTCAATACCCGGTTAAGGCAGTGGAGAACTTTCAGAAGGAAAATTAGCAGGAGATAACTGATAACTGACATCCATCAAACATGGCACGTGGAACTAGAACAGTCTACTCCAGTGATCTAAATAAAGGGTTCACTTCGAAATTCCAACCACCTGAAGAAGGCCGGAGTGTACAACGGCCGAAACGTTGTGACAAATATGGCGACAAAGATGAGGACAATAGTCCGACTAATGTAAATACTGTAAAAAAAATAAAATCTATTAATTCTTTAATAAATCTAAATAGAAACATATCACGAACTTTCAAGTGATCACTAACTTGATACCTTTTTTAATCCGGTAAAAATGAAAATGACGAATACAATGCGTGCCTGTAAATCAATAAATTTTCAAAAAGGTACTGTGGAGTAATAGATAGCGGCTCGGAATGAAGAATCGGAGAGCCGAGTTCAAATTCCAGGCAAATCCATTACATTCATTTATGTGCTAATACCCTTGGGAAAAGTATGGATACTCTTCTTCTTCTTCCCCTATAGGTAAAAAGCAGGACAGACCGAGTACTATAGCCTTGGATGACAACTGTACTGCAGAAAGAAATGACAACCTACTGAGGGAAAAAACATCTGCCTCGTCAGTCATGTATCGAAAGATACATGATCGCCTAAGCGTGTATCATGCATGACACGAAACTGACTGATTCAGCCCAACCTAGAGCTCAACCCGTAAGTGATCACAACTCTCCATATCTTCCTAAATCTTTTCGATTTCAGTAACACCTTGCTGAATTCAAAATCCATTTATTCCGCACTTTTTTTTTTTTCGTTTTGTAGATTAAGTCTAATATACAATTTATTTTGATTTTTTCCCCGAAATATTTAGTTGTTTCTTTGATTTACAAAACATTTTTGGTCATGCCAGATTGAGTGTATTCACTATGCCATAGGTCGGTAGATTCTTTTTTCCTTGTCTGCAAATTAACACATTTTGCCAAAACAGATAGCTATGTTATTCTGACCCGTTTGGCTAATGTAGAGAAAAGTGATTACTGTTTAGTCAGTGTAAATGTCTTACAGTCATAAGATTTCCCGAGAGATAGAATTGTTTCATATTAAAAGTTGCATTGCTATGAAAAGGAATAAACATGAAATCAATGGCAAATATAAAAAGATGCAGACCGATTATCTGGTAAATTTAATTCGGCTTATATGGCCGTATCACGTTGGAATATCGGTTCTCATCCTATCAACGAATCTTAAGCAACTTTGATCTTTGTCAGTACCAAGATGGGTGACCGCTTGAAATAACTAGATATTGTAAGCTTGGATATGCGAGTGGTATAAGGGACTTACAGTCATATCACGCTGAAAAACCGGTTCCCGTAGGATCACAGAAATTAAGCAACGCCGGGCCTTGTTAGTACCTAGATGGGTGACTGCTTCGGAATATCAAGTGCTGTAGGATTGCATGCGTTATTGCTAACGGCCACATCACATAGAAACACCGGTTCCCGTACGATCACCGAAGTTAAGCAACGTCGCGCGTGGTTTGTATCTACATGGGTGACCGTTTGAGAATAATAACTGAGTTTTCAAAAACAACAGTAGGAAACCTGAATTGGTTTAACAAGAAGTTTATTATCTTTTGGTACAGGGAAACATAATGTAGAATAGAACCGTAAATGTCAGTTTTCAGCAAAGACTACTGCTGATACTGCTCCTGCTGCTACTCCTCTTGATGTAGGAGTATTTTTATGCCTTTCATCCGACGGCCGAGTCCAAATTTGCAGGGAAATTTTCCCCCTCCCAACACCATCATAATTCAGCATATAGAATTAGTAAATACTAAACACTTCGATAACTTCTGTCTATGGATCACTTGTAACAAATCTACTATCTATATTTCTCATGTTGTCTGTCTGTGTGTCTGTCGTGGGCGTTGTTACCTCGCCCAGGCCGCATTTCTCACCCGATTTCGATGCGGTTTTCAACATAAGTTTGCAAATGGCTGCCGTAAGGACATGACGGAGCCCGATTTTTGAGTTCGGAATCAGGTTCCGGAAAAAATCGATAATCGAAAAAATTCTGCTTACAGAAGGAATGATCGCATTTCAACCAAATTTGACACCTCTTAGAGTCTACCATTAGAAGTGTTGTCCAGAAGTTTCATGACCACGGACCCCTAAACAGCGCGGAAAATCGATAAAACCCAAAAACCGATACGCCCAGATTGCGTCGGAACCGCATGTCGGATTTTAGCGAAAACCGAGCGGATTTATGAAGAGGCCATTGGGAGTCATCATGTGAAGTTTCAACTCTGAGCACCGCCCCCCCCAAACAGAGTGCAAATCGACAATCGGTCAACCCTTTAAAATGTCTTTTCCGGTTTTTTAAAGCTGATCGTATTGTGTTTATTTTGTTTAGTTCTTTTTTCGTAACAGATTTAATGTTTACTATAGAGCTTAGAAAAAGTTGACAGTGTGATATAGGCAAGAAGTAAGGCATGTAACAACATCAGCACGGCAAAGGGCACTCCTCTAAAGGCAAGGAAGGGCAAAAATATTTTAAGTCAAGTGATAGCGATTGCTGTATTAGTCGTACTATTTTTGAATCAACCCCGGTCTAGTTTAGTATAGTTTAGTATAGAATTTAAAGAGATTGAACAGAGAATATACTGCGCTAGTTTAGTATAGAATTTAAAGAGATTGAACAGCGAATATCACATGTAACCCGAAGAGAAAATAATGACATAATCAAGGTATAGATCTTCCACACTATTTCAAATAAAAGATTAGGAAGGAAGCACTCATCAATGGTAGAAAGAGCAATAACAGCTACTGGATTTGAAAAGCCGTTTTTCCTGAAAAATTAAGCAAAAGATTTTGTATATTTCAATCGACAGTTCTACTGGCGGCTATATCAATGAATCCCAAAAGCTTCTTCATAAGGAATCGGCTAATATTACCATTATCTTTAGGAATGAGGAAAACAGATACTACACATTTATCCCAGCCCGAAGGCCTGGGAATGGAGAAAAGAGTAACTCGAGTAGCACTGGCCGTTACGTCAATGAATGCCGCATGTTTCCTTATAAGGAAACTGTTAATATTACCATCACCTTTAGAGATGAGGAAAACAGATACTACACTTTGATCCCGGCCCAGGGCCTGCGAATGGAGAAAACATTAACTCGAGTAGCACTGGCCGTTACGTCAATGAATGCCGCATGTTTCCTTATAAGGAAACTGTTAATATTACCATCACCTTTAGAGATGAGGAAAACAGATACTACACTTTGATCCCGGCTTAGGGCCTTTGTAGCCACTGGGTAAACGGGAAACTGTTAATATTACCATCACCTTTAGAGATGAGGAAAACAGATACTACACTTTGATCCCGGCCCAGGGCCTGCGAATGGAGAAAAGAGTAACTCGAGTAGCACTGGCCGTTACGTCAATGAATGCCGCATGTTTCCTTATAAGGAAACTGTTAATATTATCATCACCTTTAGAGATGAGGAAAACAGATACTACACTTTGATCCCGGTCCATGACCTGGGAATGGAGTAAAGAGTAACTCGAGTAGCATTGGCCGTTACGTCAATGAATGCCGAATGTTTCCTTATTACTATCACCTTTAGAGATGAGGAAAACAGATACTACACTTTGATCCCGGTCCATGACCTGGGAATGGAGAAAAGAGTAACTCGAGTAGCATTGGCCGTTACATCAATGAATGCCGAATGTTTCCTTATTACTATCACCTTTAGAGATGAGGAAAAAAACAGATCCATGACCTAACTCGAGTAGCATTTTGATCAATGAATGCCGAATGTTTTCTTATTACTATCCACTACACTTTGATCCCGGTCCCTGGGAATGGAGAAAAGAGTAACTCGAGTAGCATTGGCCGTTACGTCAATGAATGCCGAATGTTTCCGTATAAGGAAACAGTTAATATTATCATCACCTTTAGAGATGAAGAAAACAGATAATACACTTTGATCCCAGCCCGATGAACTGGGAATGGAGAAAAGAATAATATCGAGTAGCACTGGCAATTACGTCAATGAATGCCGAATGTTTCCTTATAAGGAAACATTACATTTGGGGGGAAATATAAACATCAAATTCAAATAAAAATATGTATTTACATTTCACACAAAGTATATTCATTCTAGTTATCCATATATCTTCATTTTATATCAACTTGCACATAACAGTTACATAGTTGGTCAATATATTAGTGATAAATTTTGTGCCCGTTGAAATGTTATTAAATGATATTTACTAAGTTTAAGTTTGGTACAAGGCAACAATTATAGAGTCCCCAATGAGGATAAAAATTACTACAAGTTATCTAAAATCCTCACCTACTGACAGCTCGATGTTTGAAATGACATAAAATTTGAATTTGCGTAAGTAAATAAAAATGCAAGCACCTGATCATTTGAAGTGATATGACCAGGTTTGAATGGTTTTTTTGTTTGCTTCATCATATCGTGATTTTGGTTGCAGGTCTAGTCCTTTCTCGTTTAGACGTGGACATAAATATATATATATATATATATATATATATATATATATATATATATATATATATATATATATATATGTGTGTGTGTGTGTGTGTGTGTGTGTGTGTGCGTGTTAGACTCTCCGTTATATTCCGCGTATGAGGTCAAAACAACTCAGTTCCTAGGAACCAACAGCCAGACACCAGCAAATATGATTTGATTATAGTGGTGAAGGCTTTATGAAGAAAAAAAAACAAACAAAAAAACACTCTTTGAAGAGCCAAATAAAGAGACCTGGTGTACTACATTCCACAAGACGAGACCAGTTGCCACCCAAGGCTACAGAACCCAGTCTATTCTGCTATTTACCCATATCTGGAGGGGGTAGAAGAGGATTCATACCTTTCCCAAGTTTATTAGCACGTAAGTGAATATAATGGATTCGACTGGAATTCGAACTCGGCTCTCCGATTCCTGGGTGGAGGGAATAAAAGTGCCAATCTTCGCACTAGAGCTGATGACCGTCTTATGAGTACGTGAAAGCATGTTACTGAAAACAGTAGTGCGCCAGAATTTTCACTGCGTGATTTTTGAAAAGCTCTGTAATGTTATATGGCGTGTAGAAATTTTTCATTCCTCTATTCCTATACAGCAGACTCATTTTAAGAGTTGCTTATTTCTAGAAATACTAGAAAGCGATTCCATCGGTCACGTTAGGGGCCCAGTTCTGTTGAGCACTTTTTTTTTTTTTTTTGTTAAAAGCGTGGCTCCATTGTTCCGTGTGAAATTGAGAATATTTTCCCGTACTGGCAAACTATATCTGATTTTGCTGTGATTAGGGTTATAGTTGTGTGTATACAGTTTTATTTGATTTTAGACTGATGGGTCCTTTTCCAGCTCCATGTTAAACTGTTCTTGATATGCACGCACCGGCCATATTTTTTCCATCTCAGGCTCGCCTGGGGGCCTGGGGGAATAAAAGTTACTATTTTAGCACTACAGCTGACGATTGCGTGAAAACATGAATCTGACAGTAGTGGTCGGTCCCTGTGCAGACATTTTATATATATATATATATATATATATATATATATATATATATATATATGATTGAATAAATTACAGGCATAATTTTTAACAAAATCCGTTCATACTCACGAATAACATTCCGTGTATTGATATAAAAGGATTAGAGAAATCTGCTATAACTGTATAAATTTCTTTTATTTTTATTTCCCAAGTACTTTCGATCTCTTCCTTGATCATCTTCAGGGGTGCAAGTAGTACAAAACTATATGTTGTTCATTAGTACAAGTATTTATACAAAGCTGTGATTACCGTAATTTTTTTCCTTATGCTTTTAATTGCAAACGGTTGACAATGTGCTGAGCGTTCATTAGAACGTGAAAAATTATCCAATATTGAATTTTTTTCCTCTATGTTATAATGTCATGTTCATGCGCGCATTAAAGCATGAAAAAAACTGTTCCTTTATAGGCATTTCAGAACATTAATGGAGTCTTCATTGTTCAGTGCCGGCTTTAATATAAATTGCTTCTAAGTAGCTTGAATTTATTTTTTCTTGTAGGAGAGTTGCGCTGGCGATGAGTAATTTTTATATTGCTAATGTGGACGGAAATGTTGTTGTAGATGTCTCGCAATGGACAAATGGTCAGACATGGGTAGTGTAATTATTCGCAATAAGTCTTCCCCACCAACCAATTGATGTATTACATAATACCAACATTATATACCAATTTAAATGTCCCCCGGGAGAATGTATCCCCCCAAAAAAAACAAAATATATATATATATATATATATTGTGTATACGACAACTAGACTTACGCTACACATTTCTGACCATTTTGCTAAAAATTAGCACACATTCTATCTGAAATTTATTCAATTGGACATGCCTAAAAGATAATTCGCTGCCTAAATACACACACACACACACACACACAACACACACACACACACATATATATATATATATATATATATATATATATATATATATATATATATATATATATATATATATATATATATATATATATATATATATATATATATATATATATATATATATGTATGATTGAGGAGGCACGGTGGAGTAATGGATAGCGGCTTGGGTTTGAGGAATCGGAGAGTTCGAATTCCAGTCGAATCCATTACATTCACTTATGTGCTAATACCCTTGGGAAAGGTGTAAATCCTCTTCTTCTCCCTCCAACTATGGGTAAATAACAGGACAGACTGCGTTCTATAGCCTTGGATGACAACTGGTCTAGGACAACTCTGAATTCAAAACATGCGGAGGGTCGTTTGGGGACCTTGTGGCACTTAGTGCACCAGGTCTCTGTATTTGGCCCTTCAAAAAGTGTGGCTGGTCCTGCACGAAACATTCACCAATATAATCAAATCTCATGTGCAGTCGGTTTCAAGGAACTGATCTGCTTGACCCTCCCTCATATATATATATATATATATATATATATATATATATATATATACAGGGTGTCCATAAAGTTCGTGTGCACTTTAAAAAAATTATAACTTTATTTGTATTTGCGATAGAAATACTCTGTAAAAAATGTTATAAAACAGTGTTTCACCAAGATGGAGTTCCTTGTCACTTTGCTCTGCGTGTTAGTTTCTAAATCAGGAATTTTCTAACAGATGAATCGGAAGGGGTGGACCATTTTATTGGCCCCCACGTTCGCCAGATTTGACTCCATTAGATTTTTTTATAGGGACATGTGAAAACAATTGTGTATGCAACCAAACCTAGTCCATTAGAATGTTTGAAAGCTAAAATAACTAATGTGATTACTGTAAATCAGTTGGCAAATGTTTTCCGTGAACTGCAAAATCGTATTACCCTTTGTATTGCTAATGATGGAGGACATGTGGAAACTTAAATAAAATTTCAATAAAACCTTAAAAAATAGAGATTTACTTCTTTCTAATCCTTTTTACAAATTATTTCTATCGCAAATACAAATAAAGTTATAATTTTTTTTTAAAGTTCACACGAACTTTATGGACATATATATATATATATATATATATATATATATATATATATATATATATATATATTATTAATATATAGTTAAACCTAGACTAGAGCCAGACTAACCTACCAAGGTTTCACCTAAGCGGATCTTCAGGGAATACCTTTTTTCCCCTTTGGTATTGGTTTGATTATTTGCAAATCAAGACACCGAAGGTTTTCCGAACGAGTATAGTTTCTTATACTTATAAGATTTCTATTAATATATATATATATATATATATATATATATATATATATATATATATATATATATATATATATAGAGAGAGAAAGAAATATAAAGAAAAGGAGTGAAAGAGTGTGGACATAGAAAACAATACTACATGATGATTTTAATTTCCACACTTTCAGCTTTCTCCACAAACCAGAGGCATGAAACATGGAGTACTGATTTTCTACATTCATAATGTCAGTAGCTGCAAAGGTTTAATATCAGATATTGAGCACTCTTTCACCTTGATATATAACGAATGTTTAAATATATATATATATGTGTGTGAGAGAGAGAGAGCGAGAGAGATATAAATGAGAGAGAGTAAGGATACGTGAGAGAGAGATAGTGAGAGAAAGAGTGTGTGTGTGTGTGTGTGTGAGAGAGAGAGAGAGAGAGAGAGAGAGCGAGAGAGCGAAAGAAATGAAAATGTCTCTTCTGAACCTAAAATCCATTACCCCAGAAAAAAAAGTTATTTGTCCACTTGTTTAAATTTCGGGATGAACTTTTCAGAATCCTCATATATATATATATATATATATATATATGTGTGTGTGTGTGTGTGTGTAATAATCAACTGATGTCTATCTCTGCCGCTACCCGTGTTTTACAAAACAAGATCAAAATTTCGACTTGCCCTCTTATGACACAAAGCCACTTATAACAATAGCACATCAAAATCCACTCCATTTTTGGTTTGATATCAAATCGAGATTTGTTGCTCCGCCAACTATTTCGATTCACAATTCTCAATGTCTACTTCCCCCGTCAGAAAATGAGTTATCGATACATTCTTTGTCGTTCAGCTAAACCAAACGATCATGAATGGTCGGACAGTTTGCTATCAATAGTAATAAAGACCGGGCAACTATTGTTGTCTGCATTCTTCTGATGTTTTAAACACGACTGCACCAGGAAAAAAAAAATATGAAAGAAAATAGAGAAATTGTCGTCATATAACACAGGCCTAGCTCGTTTTTGTGAAGTTTTTGCTTTCGTTAAAATACAGTTGAATAGAACAAAAGGTTGTGACCTGAAATGGCAAAAGTTATCATCTTCCCTAATTTTTATAATAATAAAAATAATAATAATAAAGGAACTTTTGCATCTGAAACTATTTGTTTATTTTGGTTAGAAATGTAACTTTGATTATTTGCTGACGCATTCGCTCATAACGCCATTGACTGCTTTATTTGTTAGCAGGAAAAACGAAAACAGGAAAGGAACGAAACGTCAGCTTGAGTAAAGAAACTGACACCAAGGCAATGTCTGAAGACTGAAGCTTTTGAGAATATGTTTTGTATTGGGATCAGATAATCATTCAAAATAATGCCGATTAAACTATGAACAAAAATGTCACAGAAGATATGTGTAAAGGCATATCTCATATTCAGGGACTTTTGCTTCTGTATTCGACTTTCGTTTCTTGTTAAATTTCCTTATGGATATTAGGAAGTCTGCAGCTTAATGAATATTAAGAAGTCTGCAGCCTAATGAATATTAAGAAATCTAACGAGGAAAAAACGGCTTTTAATTTACAGTAGAAATATTTATTTTAAAGCAGTATCACTATTCTTTAAGAATGCACATAATTAAATGGCGAATACGAATCCATTAATACCAACCGTAAAATTCGGTAATTATAAAAAAAATAAAAAATAACGATATTTAAAAATGTGGTGTGAATTATACGTTTCAATATATACCGTATAAACGTCCATTTTTGTGACGTTGTGTATTAATAGTTTAATCACACAAATAAAGAAAAATCCATTAAAATTTTAGATGAAATTTAAACTAATATATACAAATCAGCATACATAATTACTGATCAACCATAATATATATATATATATATATATATATATATATATATATATGGTCTTATGATTGTAAAAAATCATTGAAAATTAAAGTACAATGATTCATAGGGAACTAAAAGGTTTAAATCTTAAGTTTAAAACAAGCACCAATATTAAACAGGTAAATTTTCTCGATGTCTAGTTAAAGACAATTTTCCGACTTATATGAAAAATAATGTCAACCCGATGTACATTTACACCAATTCCAATCACCTTCCATCTCGTTTTTTAAAGATTTTATTATTGATATTTCAAGGTCCATAACATAAAGAAATATAATTACCCAATTAAAAAAGCGTCTCATCAAACAACTCCCTTAAATATCCCCCCTAACACAGGCATTATTTCGCAGAAAGTCTAATCTTAGTTCTTGTATGGCGTATTCTTTTAATTAGACGCGAAACCACTAGAAGCTGAGAAAAGCCAAATAACACCACGAGACTCTGATTTGCATATTAGTTTATTAAAAAGATTTAGGGCAGGGCGAAGAAACACGTAATAGTCAACACGAAGACATGAACGACAGTAGGAAGAAACAGTGGTGGCAGTATGTCAGTGCTAAAGCAGAAAAGTCGACATCAAATGAGATAATACGTAGACAAGTCAAGAGCTTATATTGCTGACAGTTTGAAAAGGACGGAATTTCTGCTTCTTTGAAGATTTGCAACATGCAGAAAAGCTGGCATTGCTAAATACGTGGGAATTTTTCAACAGACACTGCGACCAGAATTATTTCATACTAGCTTAAAAGCAGGCTGGCATTTAAGTCAGCTCCTGCAGAGTGCTCTTGATTGGACCTTAATCGCAACAGGTAGGGAGGAGTAGATGCGATAGGCAACAATAAACAACAGAACTCAGAACTGATCACTGCATTTAAGTATTGAATTAATATTTAACCTAACCTTTAAAAGTTCAACGATAATTCTTCTGCCGCCACTTAATTTAAAGACAATTTGATGTACGTAGGTCCTTACTTTTCGTACAAACAATTATTGTTATTTCATGGCTGACTTTCACTGGATTTCGCAATTTTCGATTATTCCCAAATTTATAATAATTGTAGCAATGAAAATTTGGTAACCCAAAATTTCAGGATTGCGATTCCGGATCCCGAACCGGAATGTTTTTAATTTGCTCACAGAGTCGGCCTGATTCCAAAATGGTGATATGTTTGGCTAGGAGAAAAGCTGAAAACGCGAACGATTTTATTTTGAAACAAATTTGTGAACAGTATTTTTTTTCATTTGAACAGGAGCTATTGAAAGTTAGAGAGTTGTGTCCCTTGAATTGTTTTCATCGGCAGAAGCCAAGATGGTGGCACCCGAAAACAATCGCAGTAATGAAAACTTGGGAATCCAAAATATGTCGTATGGGCATATTTGTTTTGATTTCCCTGGGGTGGAAGATCAATTTACATAGAACACTGCAACCCCTATACACATTCATTTTTTTTTTCAAAGAAAGAAAAAAAGATCATATATCTATGTATATATATAAAATCAACTATTTTTGTCTTTCTGGCGGTTGATTTCCCATTTAATAATATTCAAAGAATCCTCAATTTCGCATGTTGTGTATTGGTTAATATAAAAGAACAAAACTCATCGATTGATTTGTTTTTTACGGTTTACCAACCTGTTGTAGGTCATTTAAATCTAAAATAAATTGTTGGATCGTAAGAATAATGCTTTTTGGGGGGCTAATAAATATTGTATTAACATTGGGGGCGGGGAATAATAACGATTTTACGATAAAAATCCAAATATTTAACACATAGCTGTTGGAAGTAAATGTGGATTCATATTTGTGGGTTAGTGAATACCATTTCTCACCCCGAGTCGTTATCCATTACACCACTCACTCACTCACACAAGTTTATTGTACGTGGTATTCGCAAGCGGTCACCCATCATGGTACTGATCAGGCTTGACGTTGTTTAACTTCGGCAAACCGACGAGAACCGGTGCTTCAAAGTGATATATCTGTAAACCTGTGGTTCCCAACTGATTTTGGCCCATGCCCGACTTTGAAATTTCTAAAATCCTAGTGCCCTCCCTGTAATATTTAATAATTATATGTATGCCAATTACACATTTATATACATAAAGACAAAATATTTGTATGTAGGCATACTGAATATGCATGGTATGTATTAACATGCATTAACATTAAAACACTTACCCAGACACACTAGAAATTAGATTCACTGTTAATAATTCATTCTCGAATTGCCCCCTTATTCTGTTGGTATAGTAAGCCGAAGGGTTCACATCCTACGCATGCCCCACCAAAATATTACCATGTCCCACCGGTGGGGCATGCGCCCCATGTTGGGAATCATTGCTGTAAACCCACCGTTACGACAAAAATCGAGGCTAAATGTTTTATATCTAAGAATAGAAAGCCTTTTCTACATGTGACTTAGATTAACATTATAAAAGAAGCGTTGTTCACCATGTCATGCGTAAAATGCTTTCGCAAATCTCTTTTTTATTCTGAAATCTGTATGGATAAATAATTAATTCCCGCTTCGTTGTACGTAGGCGAGTCAAAAAGTAATGCAATGTGTTGTATTATATAAGGAATACGGAACACAATCAACCATATCGTACATCAAGATGCATCATAGGTTCACATCACCTCTGTCGATCGCAGTGTTTCACCTACGAATGGGTGATATGTATCCCATCTTCGTAAAAAAAAAAAAAACAGCCGGCTGTTGATGTAGCTAATTCCTTACAACAATTTTCGCTTCTTCATCACCACTTGACTTGGCACCCTCAGACTTCCATTACTTTGATCCAGTGATATATATATATATATATATATATATATATATATATATATATATATATATATATTTATTTATTATTATAAATTAATTGATTTATAATATGTTTTTTTTCGCTACACAGATCTAACCATGTTTCAAAAATGGAAGCTGAAAGCTCCCAATTTAATTTTGTAATTAAATTAAAGACATTAGTTCCATTTCATGTTGTAAAAATAAAATACCTATAAGAACACTGGATTATATATCTTACTGTTCTTTCTTTTTTTATATATATATATATATATATATATATATATATATATATATATATATATAATTATATATAATACACGCAGCACTAAAAGACACCCGTTTATAGAACTGATGATCATGATGACGGTGAATGTAAAAAAATACCGTATTTTGCTGCTGATAGCACGCATTTGTTTCCTAAATAATATCTCCAATCCCAACCATGTTTCCTATAAACTGAATGTCTCATATAATTCGTACATTATAAATAGTTACTTTAAATTTGATACTTCTTCTCGATCTGTGATGAATTTGTCATTATTAGTCAGGATTTCATTGCTATTCAGTGGGGAAAATTAGGCATAGTTGGTAGGGCTATGAAGTACAAAGGAAAAATATTTTCCCGATTACTTCTTTAAAAATGTAGGCAGTGTCTAATGCTTCGAACGGTCTTGTAAGCCACGGAATACGGTACATACATTAGGATTAATGTCCTCATCTTTTTTTTTTTTGTAATACCCAGCCCAAAGACTGGATTTACAATTACTGTATCAATAATTCACGAAGAAACGTTTAAACCAAATGATATTTTCACAGGATAATAATAATTGTTAGTTCAATCCCTGGGCCGAATATTACAGACTTAGCTCCGGTGGAAACTGGGAGAGTAATAACTGAACAGTATTAAATAAGGATGAGATATCCCGAGACATAGAGAGTGGAACAAAAAGCAATCTATCCCCGTAGATTAAATAAAGGATCAGTTTGAAATTCGGTGTCAATTCCATTATTTGTCAATTCGGATAAGAATTGTCAATTGAAGAAGGTTCGACAGTACAACAGCCGAAACTTTGTGATAATAACAACGAAGATGAGGATATTAGACTGAATGTAAATAATAACTCCTCGTCCTACTGACTGAAGGCAATCGAGTGACAATAACAACAAAGATGAGGATATTAGTCTAACTTTATATATTAACTCCTCATCTGAAGACAATCGAGTGACAATAACAACAAAGATGAAGACATTAGACTGAGTGTAGATAATAATAATATATTTATAATGTATATACCGTTAGACTGAGTGTAGATAATAATAATATATATTTTTGAATTTCTGAAACGAGTTTCAGAAATTCAAAAATATATAACGTTATTAAAAATCTAGTTTTAACTTCAGTCCATTCTTGTTTCAGCGTTGATATAGGCAGCACAAAAAATAATCTTTTCCCTCCGCACATTGCTATTTACACGCATTTTCAGTCTGATATTTAAATTACTCTGACTGTTTCTATAAACATCGCTTCTTTATTCAAATTTTCCAGTAGTATCGGTTTCTACGAAAACCTGAATTGGGGAAGTTGGCGAAACGAACACTGCTTCGTTTGAAAATCGATAGCTTCTCGCGTCTTCACCAGAAACAAAAAGAACTTGTATTTTATTTTTGTTTGAACAGCCTGTCTTGTGATCGATTACTAACGAGTTCAATTAAGGTAATTATCACAAGATCAATTTGATTTTGAGCTAATTGACGAGAAGATCAATTAGAATTATTGATAAATAGCAAGAAGACCTGTTAACCCTTTTTCTTTACTTGTCTTCGAATTAGACTCTCAGCTTCTTTACGCTTGTTTTATTTATTTATCTTTTTTTTCATTATGTTAATGTTATTGGTTGTGCCGCTAGTGCAACCGATATCAGCACAGAAAGCTGAATTGGCGAACGGGGTTCAAATTTCGGGTTAGACTACAATTTATTTTCGCACAAATTCTCCGAGAAAAGGCATGAAACCATCCCATTAAATAAAGTAAATTTTCAAGAGAAGAAAACTTACTTTAAATTGATATTATTAAATTTATTTCAGCTATAGTTTTATTTCTTGGATAGATACGTACATACATAAATAGGTAGATAGATATGAAGTCTAGGATATAGATGAATAGATAGAGATATAAGGACTGTAACAGATAGATAGATAGATAGATAGATAGATAGATAGATAGATAGATATGAATTGACTGTGATAGACAGATACGAAGAGAGTGATAGATAGATAGATACGAAGAGGTTGTAATAGGTAGATATATAGTGAGGAATATTGACAGATGCATAGATAGAGATATAAAGACTGTAATAGATAGATGGAATAGATAGATAGATAGATAGATAGATAGATAGATAGATAGATACGAAGAGGCTGTAATAGATATATAGATAGTGAGGAATATAGACAGATGAATAGATAGAGATATAAAGACTGTAATAGATAGATAGATAGATAGATAGATAGATAGATATGAATTGACTGTGATAGATAGACACGAAGAGACTGTGATAGATAGATAGATAGATAGATAGATAGATAGATAGATAGATAGATAGTCACTGTAGTTGATAGAGAGAGATACGAAGAGACTGTTTTCATCTTTATTGACATATTCCCGACGTTTCAGCCGTTGGAATTTCGAACCGAACCCTTTATTTAGTCCACAGGATAGATTGTTCTAATTCCACGTGCCATGCCTTTTTTGGATAACTCAATCAGTCAATTCTCTTTAGTAACTCATCTTTTCAAATTTTTGTTCCCAGGTATTGAACTCACAAGCCTTTAGGTCATGTCAGTTTTTCGTTTAATCAGCCAACACTTTTATCCAATTAGCCATTTTTACCAGAGCTCATATTACAATATATCACCTGAAGAAAGTCGGAACGTACAACGGCCGAAACGTCGTGAATATAGTAATAAAGAGGACAGCAGCCCGAATGATTTGGATAATATAGATATTAATGAAATGGAGCAAAAATGAGGAGATTATGGAACTCGTTAAAAGGGGTCCAAAAAGTTACTTCGGTATTTAAAAATATCACAAAATATCAGATTTTTATACTTTTTTTCAGAACTTATATTGACATCGGAAATTGTTCCTGGGAAAAATTCTAAATTTTTTCTATCCATCAGCATGGCTGATGCTAACCATTACGGGAGAAACTCATTGTGTCTTCTTGAGATCAAGTTTCCACTGACATGAAATGGAGCGATTATCTCTATCTATAAAAGGCCGTGTGTGTGTGTGTGTGTGTGTGTGTGTGTGTGTGTGTGTAACGAATGCACGGCCGCAATTTTCCACGGATTTGCACCAAAATTTACATGCACATGCTACAAGTTAGCAGGAAGGTCAAGACCGACCTTGCATTTCCCAACTCCCATCGATAGTGGAAATAATCGATTTTTTCATGCTTCTACGGCAGTTTTCAGGTAGTTTGCGGCCATTTTCTACTGGCCAAAATGAGAGTCAATAGCTGGCTGCCACGAATAGGCAGGAAGATTCTACTGACCAGCGTGAGAGCCAACAGCTGACTGATACGAATGTTAACTAGCATGCTAGCATGCAAAAAAAATCGATACATTCGTCACAAGTGGGAAAAATTTAAATCTTCATGGCACTTTACTCCAATTGGCTCATTCGCTTGCTTAAACTCAATGTTGATTCTGATTCCGCAGAACTGGATTGGGTGTGAAAAGTATTTGTTGTTAACATTCTTTTTTCAATCGATTTTTTCCAGTTACGAGTCGTCCTTTTTTAAAGCTGAACGTTTTGTGTTCATTTTGTTTAGTTCTTTTTTCGTAACAGATTTAATGTTTAGTATAGAGCTTAGAAAAAGTTCGCAGTGTGAGATAGGCAAGAAGTAAGGCATGTAGCAACATCAGCACGGCAAAGGGCACTCCTTTAAAGGCAAGGAAGGGCAAAAATATTTTAAGTCAAGTGATAGCGATTGCTATATGAGTCGTACGATTTCTGAATCAAGAACGGGCAACGCCGGGCCATGCTGCTAGTATTGTATCAATTGCTGGATCTGTTGCTTGGAAAGTTAGTTCAAACTAATGTTTTCATCTTTATTGTTATTACTACAACGTTTCAGTCGTTGTGCCTTCTTCAGGTGTCA